CAAAATTTTCTTTCAGAACTCTTGTCTAACCTACTTTATGTGTATGTTGTTGGTTCTGGTTTGTAGTTGTCTCTACCCATTCAAGGTAAAAAACTGCAAAAGGACTATACAAGTACAGTAGAACTCCAATTATCCGAACTCCGATTATCCGAATCACTTTCAGAAAAAAAATTGTCCAAAAAAGTCTAAGTGCTTCCACCAGCAAAGCCAGTGTAGGCACATTGTTTTTTTTGATTTGACGGAGATGTTTACAAAACAATGATTTTTATTTCTAAACTTGTACATAAGTACATTTTATTTATATTTAAAACATGTGAAAATGTCATGTTTCTTTCATTTAATTCAATAAAAAAGTAGTGCAATATCAAAACGTAACTTTTTTTCTCTCCAATGGCAATTTAAAAAAAAAAACTCCTATTATCCGAATGGGTCCCGGTCCCCATTAATTCGAATAATTGGAGTTCTACTGTATGCCCGAAATGTGGCCGGCGCGTCACGCCAATGATGATGGCAAAGTCGGAATCTTAGTAATTAACTAAAAAGCCCAAATATGTATGTATAGCAATAAATTTTTATGTTAACTGATGCTCATAACGATTATAGTTGTTTGTGGCTAACATATTCACGTACTCGACTAACAAATGCATATTTACCCTTGTGATTACAAATCTCACATAAGTTTTATTTACTAAATGATATTTCTATTTCTTTTCTGATTTTTATATCGCCTGGCTTTGGAATCACAAGGTTTAAGATCGCGTTTCGGTTTTTTATATCTTTATTTACATATATATATATATATATATATATATATATATATATATATATATTATTGATTGTTTTTTTTCCGAACAGTAAATCCAATAATAAAAAACAATTTGTTTTTTGAAGATGTTTAATAACGACGTTTCGGAACTAGGTACGTTCCATCATCAGGTTTATTCTGTCAAATACAATGTTTTTTAAAAATATTGATTAACATTAATTAACGATGGTCAATACAGATTAATTAGCAAAAAATTTTTATAAAGGAATGGATTATGTACCGGGGTAAAGAGTAATAAGACTTAACTAAAAAAGGTTTTATATAAAATTGAGAAGCAAAAATTATTTACCTGTAATAATTTCCAAAAAAATCGAGTGTTTTTAACAAAAAAATATTAGTGATATGGATATATAAATTATTACAGGTAAATAATTTTTGCTTCTCAATTTTATATAAAACCTTTTTTAGTTAAGTCTTATTACTCTTTACCCCGGTACATAATCCATTCCTTTATAAAATTTTTTTGCTAATTAATCTGTATTGACCATCGTTAATTAATGTTAATCAATATTTTTAAAAAACATTGTATTTGACAGAATAAACCTGATGATGGAACGTACCTAGTTCCGAAACGTCGTTATTAAACATCTTCAAAAAACAAATTGTTTTTCATTATTGGATTTACTGTTCGGAAAAGAAACAATCAATATATTGAAAAAATCCAGGACTTATCTATTGAATATATATATATATATATATACATATATATATAGCATACATAACACCTCAATATGTCCAAGGAAACTTATTGAGTTTGCTTGAATATATTAAAGAATTAGAAAAGGATTTGATGTTTTACATTTTATAGTGGCCGGTTATAATATATCTTAATACTATTAAATTAATAATTATATATCACTTTGTTAAATTTATAATTAAGTAGTTACAATATATCTTACGTACTTTATTGAGTGATGTTACATGTCATTTAGAAAAAACGACAGATGCATATTAATTACTGAACGATTTTTCTATAATTTTATAGGACTGTTTAGATATTATCAAAAATATTCAACTAAAGCCATTTTTGGGGCTTTCGCGGCAATTTACGCTATTTTTTTTTAAGTTACTAATGGAAAAATTTGTTTTCGACAGAAGATTCGGCTTGATAATTTTGTTCTCTCGGCGATTCAAGTAATTTTAAGTCGTTTAAGGCCTGAATTGAAATAAAGTATGTGCGATAGCTATGATTGTATATGCAATTAAAATCTTCCGTTTTTTACCATGACTAAGTGTAGATTTGATTTGATTGAAAATGAAACTGGTGTGCGTTTTCGCAACGCTTATTGTTTTATTTATTTATTTGTTTTTTTTTTTCTCTTGTGAATGTCCATCTTTTGTAAAGGGTGTGCTTCATTCTACTTCTCTTTTATTGCATTTTGTTTGCTACTTTATTATCATTTGGATGATGTCGGCATACTAGTTTAGAACGGTGCACTGATTTTTATGTAGGTACTTCATATCCATTTTGACAATTTGATAGTAGAAATAGGTAATTTTTGTTTTTCGGTTTTGCTTATGTCATATCTTTTTGATAAATTGATAAAGTCCGATTTGGGGAATGGCTATGCACATATCAAAGTTGTCTTCATTTGTTAGAAAATAAATATGAAGAGCAATTAAACAAATAAATGAGAACAATAATATTTTATTCGTTATTGTGCTGTGTGTAGTATCCCTAAAAACGACATTAAATGCTGAAACGTATAGTTTAGCATGCCAGAACAAATGACAAAAGTTTCACTTTATAATGACTTTTAAGTCAATATTTATCATACATATTTAAAATCAGCATAAATAAATATGTATGATGAATATTGATTTTATAAATTACAAAGCAAAATTAAAAGTACAATTAATTAATGTATAACAAACAGGTAATGCAACACTTAAAATGTTTATTTGCTATTTTATTAAGCAGTTGATGAGAGAAAATAATTTGACTATATTTTATTCTGTTATCATTCTAAAATTTTAATATAGTTTATGATATAAATCTTACAAAAATAAACTTATAGCAAATTGAAAGAAATTTTGTATATGAAATCTAATAATATTTATAACATTTCTGGTTAACAATATTAATACGTTTGTAGAAGAATGATGACCATCAACCCGTTGATCAATCCGTTTTGATGACTTCAACAGAGTCTCCTAAGTTTTTGGTACGTTGTGTATTGTGTGGAGAAGGATTGCTGTACAGTCGACACCATACATGGAATCTAATATTGCATCTACGAGAAAAACACCCTAATGCAACACTAACTCAATTACCTTGTCAGGTATAATATAACATTACACTATTTTACATATATAAATGAAATATTTTGCCTTAAGGAAAATTGCTGGACCTTCCCGTACCAAAATTAAACATTATTCAATAATAATTGATTAACATTAATAACAATTGTTTTAAATATTTTTCAACAGATTAATATAAATGTTGTAACTATTTGTATTTAGTAGACGAAATATAAGAGTTTATAAATTAGGCGACGAATGGTATTGGACACTTATGCATATTTTCTTAATGTAAGCATATTTTTTAACGCATTATAAGACTTTATTTCTAAGAACTCTATATGAAAGGGTAAATAAGTGAGCTTATATAATTTTAAATGCCTGTGTTTGGACCTTTTTTTGTATCAAAATAAGTTAAGTGTTTTTTGAATCATTCAAATCGGCTGATCCGTTTTCAAAATCTGATTTGCCATTTGTTGCGCTTCTTGCTTCATATCTTCGAAATGGCTGGACCTGCCTTTACCAAAAACTTACCAGCTCGTCTTTCCGTCGATAGGAATCGAATGTTTTGCAGTTCTTGAATCATTCAAATCGGTTGATCCGTGCCTTCGAAATCGTGAACGACAAATTGTTTTCAAACATATATACACACACATACATCCATTTTTTCCAAGGTATGCCAAAATGTTCAGATAATGATATGCAAAAAAAAATATTTTCGATTTTTTTTGCATTTTTCGATTTCAGTTATAGAAAAATATATCAATATACCATACGAGAAGCTAATTATGTGATATTAGGCATTTCATACATTCAAAGCTTCGAAATAATTAGGTTAAAACTGAAAAGTTTTATTATTTGTACGCGTTTTTATCAATATTCTGAATATAACTATTGTAATTGTAAGACAATCTATTAGTTTTGAAGAATCAGAATAAAATGTATTATAAAAAATTACAAATGAAGTTTTATGTATGGTACTAAAAGTATTTATGTGTTACAATTATTAATAATAAGTTAATAAGACCATTTATTATTAATATATTTCTACATCGCTACGGATTAAATTTGAATGAAACAATATATTCTGCTTATTTTCTCAAAATTGTTTATATATATATATATATATATATATATATATATATATATAAACTACTATATATATAATATATATAGTTTAATATAAAAATACATAATTATAAATTTTTCTTAATACTATTCTTACATAATTTTTTCTGAGAAAATCGATTAGACTTATTTACTGAAAACCTTTATTTTTTCTAGCTAAGTTCTACAGCTACGAAACGAAAAAAGAGCATTATAACTCTCTTCATCAGAAAAGTTGAGTACAAATATTATCATAAGTCTTCAAAATGACGAAATAATCAACTATCAAATCTATTCGACTTTCAGAAAGATTCAAAGTCGACGCAGAATCCTGAGACACCACCAAAAATATTAATCGAAAAAGAAGTGGAAATAAATACTAAGAAAAAACTTTCTCCCACAACAAGTAAGTTCTACTCTTTCCGTAATGTATATATATATATATATATATATATATATATATATATATATATATATATATTATGAAAATTGGTATACGTATAATATTTGTGTGTGTAAATATTATGTGAGTTCCCTTCTGTTTTAAACAAACGATTTTTGTATACATTTTTACACTTTTTAATTATTTGAAAATTGAAACAATTTACTTTGAACTTTTGAAGTATTGAAGTTGAAAATGTTTGAAAATGAGTAGTCAAAAAAAAAAATGGTTTTTAGTGTGCGTAAAAACAATTTTTAATTTTTCAATGTACACACAAATTTTATTGAAATGCAGCATTAAATTATTTAAAAATTACAAATTTAGTTTCTACGTTATAGTTGAAACTTGGCGCCCCGGTCCATCGCAAACAACGTGTCTCGCTTGTGGGAAGACAGTGATGCCTGTTTACGAAAACAGAGATCTAGGGTAAGATTATTTTATTTTGATTTACTCGATTCTTTGCAGTTTTGCCAATCATTTAGTTTTTACTTCACGTAGAAGAAGTTATATTTATTGCAAAAAAAAAAACGAAAATGAAAATTTTTATATCTTACGTTTCAAAGGTTTTAGAATATTTTGGCATACCTTAGAAAAAAATTGTCAGTATATAGAACTCAATATCGCATGGGCATAATACCGACGAACTAAAATATCCGCTATTTTTTTGCTACTGGAAACCGCCGTTAGGCATTACTTCATAGGGGTATGATCTAGAATGCTATAATTCTTGCCCTGAAATTATTCTATTTTTATAATTATATGTAATATATTTGCTATTGGTTTTTTTTCTTTTCGAAGATTGCAAGTCTATTTAACACTTTGGTAGCAAATGTGTCTATGGCATTCCCCGCAGCCTCAGTTAGTAGAATCACGTCTGCAACAGTATCTTTTAGAGTGATTCTTTGGCTTAATGTCTTTCCTACTGCGGCCCGTTGTGCACTATATTCCGGGCACACGAAGAACACATGCATCTTCGATTTTGCTCAAACAATATGGGTAATCCGGCGAGCTATCGTGCTTGAAGCGGTTTAGGTAGGCTCGAGAACAGCCGTGTCTAGACAGCATTTGTGTAATTTAAAAGTTAAATTTTTCATGCTTGCTATTTAGCCAGACTTTGATATTTGGATTGAGACGACTATTGCCCTTCACTGCGGCATCCCACTGCTGCTGCCATAAGTCAATGCTGTTCTGCCGTTCTTCTGTTCTCAATTTTTTAGGACCCTCAAAAGTTTGGTTTTTGTTTTTTTTTATTGGTAAATTGTCCGTGTTTTTTCTGCTAAGACTATGAGAGACGGAGTTCCTGAAATGTCGCACACTGCTTTCTCTGATGTTGTGCGAAATGCGCAAGCAACTCTAAAGGCACTCAGACAATATATGGGTCCTGCCATTCTCCGTGATTTTTGAGTCTTGATAGCATCAGGACATGTGTATATGGATGTGGTTAAAAATTTTTGTCGATGGTTTTAGGAACACAGATCAACCGATTTGAATAATTAAAACTACATTCAATACTCTTATTTATGGGGAGACGTGCTCATTAGTTTTTGGCAAAGGCAGATGCAGCCGTTTCGAAGATGGGGGAAAATAGGTCCAAAAATTGGAATTCAGTTTTTGAGAAAACGCAGCGTCCGATCTGAATGATTCAAAAATATTTTATTTATATTGAAAAAACGAGAATCTGATTAAATTTTTGGGTCCAGCGGTTTTGGAGATCCAATAATTAAAAGTAAAAAAATCATTTGGCGGTTAAAAATTGTCATTAGACATGTGCACATCCAATTATCAGATATCTTTAGAAGTTTTGAAAATAAGTAAAAAAATCTATTGGTTTCGTACTGATGTTTATCCCTTATACTGCGAGCCGGCGCTTACGTGTTTCGATATTTTGTCGCTGGAACAGCTACGCTCACTATTGCTTTAAAAAAGTGTTCAAAAATAAATATTCATCATACTTGTTTAAATCAGCTTAAATAAATATGCATGATGAATATTGATTTTATAAATTGCGATGCAAAAAAAAAAACATGTATAATTTACTGAATTATGAACGGTTTGTTATATATTCTGATGCCAATGCTAGAAAACCTGACTAATATTGGCAAGACCAATATTGGTAATACCAATATTGATCTGGCCAATATTGGCAAAAACCAATAATAATAATAATTAGTCTAGAATGTTAATGATATTTGAAGAATAAATAGGCAAGAACAAAGTATATGGGTAGAAAGCAAACAGACAAAACATATGAATAGAAAGCAAATATTGATTTGCTTGATATGAATGACCAATATTGATTTTTAAGAAATTTTGAAATTATTGATACAATTTGACTGTATTTTGATTTATTTTGAAATTTTTGAACATTTTTTTTGAACAATCGCACTGCATACGTTACTGTATGAATGAGTTATAGTTATCGCAAAAGAATCCAAAATAATCTTTTTTTGCATACCTCACGTTTCAAGTTCTTATGAGCATATTGACATTCCTTAAAAAAAATGATGTATATGTATATATGTATGTTCAATTCCTATTGATAAGAAAGCGTTCTGATTGAATTTTGGCATTTGATTAAAAAAGTAAAATCTTGTCTATTAAAAAGGGCGCCTGATTAGATAGGGCCTAGGGCGGCAGTAAGCTTAATCCGCCATTGACGGTAGATGCCCATAACAAACAGGTAATGCAACGCTTATAGTGTTTATTTGCTATTTTATTAACCATTTAATGAGAGAAAATGATTTGACTATATTTAATTCCGTTATCATTCTAAAATTGTAATATAGTTTATGATATGAATCCTACGAAAATAAACTTATATAAAATTGTAGGAAATGTTGTATATGAAATCTAATAATATTTATAACATTTCTAATTAACAATATTAATACGTTTGTAGGAGAATGAAAACCATCAACCCGTTGATCAATCTGTTTGATGACTTCAACAGAGTCTCCTAAGTTTTTGGTACGTTGTGTATTGTGTGGAGAAGGATTGCTGTACATTCGACACAATACATGGAATCTAATATTGCATCTACGAGAAAAACACCCTAATGCAACACTAACTCAATTACCTTGTCAGTTGTGATAGAATATTACAATATTTTACATATATAAATGAAGTATTTTAATAAATATAGAAAATTAGTGGTGCATGGCATCGTGCCTTGCAAATTGCTGGAACTTCCCCTACCGTAATTAAACATTCGAGGAATGAAAATAATCAATAATTGTTTTTAAGATTTTCAAACAGATTATTTATTATGAATACATACTGTTTCATAAGTGCTTTTTAAATTGGACGATGAGCGTATTTTATAAACAACTTATGTGTACATTTACAAGAGCCATTTTTTTAAATTAGATTTTTTTGAAAATTCAGAAATTTTTTCAAAATTTTGAAATTTTTTTCGAAGTTTAAAATTTTTTGGTATATAAAAACACGTTTTTTTAAATATTTTGAGAATTTGGAAATTTTTGAAAATATTTTTTGTAAGAAGTCTTTTTTTTCAATTTTTCAAAATAAAGTTTCGAAATTTGAATTTTTTGAAACTTTGATTTTTTTTGAAAATTTTATTGTTTTTTAATTTTCAAAGTTACTAAAATTTTTGTAAGAGCATTTTTTGCACACCATCTACTCAAGCAAAATGTTTCTTCAATTAATCTAATCGGATAATCCTTTCTCTCAAAAATTGCATAACCGTTTTTACACCTTTTACGCTCCATACGAACCGAATGATTTTTTAATCATACAAGTCGGTTATTCCATACTGTCGAAAATGTCGAAGACATTTGCTTGAACCATATAAAAAACCTTTGTAATTAAGAATCTTGGTACGGAACCCAAAAAAATTTACACAAAATGTATACACAATATTAAACCTTTATAAAGTATCTGATAATTTGATGTACGTGTGTTCAATAAACATTTTTGACCGCCAAATGACATTTTTTTTAACTTATTTTTATTGAGAGTCCATAACCGCTTGACCTGCCTGCCCAAAATTTTTACCAGTTGTTCATTTCGTCAATACAAGTGAAATGTTTTCTGGATTAATAAAATCGGACGCTCCGTTCTCTTAAGAACTGAGTTACCGTTTTTGGCACTTTTTGCCCCATACTTCGGAATGTTTAGACCTGCCGTCGCCAAAAACTAATCAGCACGTTTCCTTATCAATACGAATCGAATGTTTTTTTAATTATTCAAATCCTTTGATCGGTGTTCCCAAAATCGTCGACGAAAATTTGTATCCGCACTCACAACTCACACACACACACACCCACACACAACACACGCACACACACACATACACACACATACATCCATCTTTTTAAGGTATGTCAAAATATTCAGAAACCTTTGAAACGTAAAGATAAATAAAAATCTTCATTTTCGATTTTTTGCGATTACTATAGGTTGCCCTACGGAAAATTAATAGGTGGGGTTCAGAGAATGAATTATACACGACGATTCTAACCTTTTCTATTACCCAGCCTATTTCCAGTAGGTCAAGTGCCGGAGTAGATATTTATAAGAGTCTACAGATTGACGAAAATTTGTAAAATTATGAAATTGTTTATTTTGACAAATCTCTTTATCATTTTGGATTATTAGAGTAGTTGTACAAGGCGTGACTGTTAGGTTGTGTGGCATCAATGATGAATGCCATTTATCCGATTTGATCTTTACGTTTAGAATTTGCTTTATCCTTTCTAGTCATCCACAGAACATCTGTTTATTTCACGACAGTTTTCCTGACTGACAAAGATAAAATTCTAAATTTTCTTGCCTACATAAATTTATTTGGAAAAATTTATTTGTATACATTTCTAAACATATGTTACGTATATATCAAAACAATTCTCTGGATATTAGCGACGAAATGAAAAAACTCGATAAACTAGATGCATCAAATTATGGATCGATTTTTGCATAATCACTGATTTGCAGGATTATCCTATCACACTATTATTTCCCGATATGTACAATAATCACATAGTTTTTCAACGTCTCGCAGAAGAAGCAATTTTAGGGAAAAAAAACTGTAAAAATTTAATATTAAAATCTGAAGATAAAACTGTGTTTGATAGGAAAGTGGATTTTTTAAATTTTTTTATATTTTTTATGTCTTACTCGATTTGCTAAGCATTACACAATATAATACTAAAATGAACGTTAGTATTATGCTCCTTAATTTAAAAATGAACACTTTGCACTTGCGAATTCCGAGATTTGTGTGAATCTTGCCACAATTTCACTTATTTTTTGGCTAAACAACGTTTGCGGGCTTATTATATCCGAAGCCGGATCAACTCGGATTTGACTCCGCTTCATGGTGGAGTTATATCCGCTAAACAACTCCAAGACTCCGGCAATTTTGAAACCGAAATACTCGATACAAATGTGTTCTATAGTACGCTGTTCATGTATCTAAGGATTTGTCAAATCCCATTAATTATTTGAAATGAAAATTTATGAAAAATTATCAATAAAATAATTTTTCTAAAAAATTCACGAATAAATGGCGGATTGTAAAATTTTTCGGTCGAACAGATGATCGACTCAGTGACTCGTATTTTTAGCAGTGTTGACCAAAGTAAAAACGCAAAACTTGAGAATCAAATTCAATTTAATGATTTCCTTTTGATGAGAAAGTAATTGATTTTTGGGATTAATTTTATATAAAAATTATGTAGTCAACTTTGTAATAAAAGCCAAACATAATACTTCTGCTTTCAAAATTTTTCTTCTGCTATTTCCATTTGAGAATTAATATTATATCGCGTAGTTCGATTAGTATATTATAACTTTTACACAATTATATAATTGTGTAAAAGTAATAATATAATACTGAATATTTTTTACTGCTTAAATACTAATGATATCACTGATAAATTTTGTACTCTAAAGTGTTGTTATTTCAGGCTATGGAAAAACAAGATTAAATAAATGTATTTCGTTTCGTATATTTTTCGGTATGTATATACTTGATTGCCGTCATTTACGGCCAAAGTTTGTCGTAGTTAGAAATATCAACCCTTACTATTCAATAAATTATACATTTGAGCTACTCACACTTGAATACAATTTCATTGTTCTGTATCTTCAAAGTAACATTTTTGTATTTTCTGGAGAATACACAATGGTATTTATTTTGACTTTTATACCTAAAAAAAGGTCATAAAACTGCCTGCGAGACAAGAAAGTGACCGCTTCCTTCCTAAATCAAAAACGACAAAAACACTAAATGCCTGTACGAGTTAACAGATTTAATACCAGTTTAAGGAAGTCGGATATGACAAATCCTGTGAAACAACTCCACTCGGATTCACTCCGAGGGAGGAGTTGTATCGGAGTGATAACTAAATTTTTTCATGCTATTTCCATACAAAGTTTGATTGAATTGCGCACTATCTAAAAGGTAATATTAAGAGCTAAAACTTTCAGAGAATAATTTTTTATCAATTTGAACCACTTTAGCCCTTGGGAGCAAGGAAATACGAAAATGTCCAAATTTAAGGACCACCCTAATATATTATGTATAACATAAACATATATATTTTTTATTGATATTACGCCTGGATAATTGGTTCTTATTCATTTTAAGACATTTATACATATGTCAACATCGAATTTATGTATATGTATATATATATATATATATATATATATATAATATAAAGTTTTGTATCATTCTATTTTAAAACTTCTAATTCAATCGTCTTTGGAATACAAATGCGAAATATACGAACACGTACAGAAGTACAGGTATGAGAGAACAGTGAGAAATTCTCACTGGGTGTGTTCGCCAACAATATCACACGGCACGACACGATTTTTATGCCGTTGAAATAGAAGTTCTGGAAGTATTATTTTATATTATCAATGATTCAAATGCATTATTTTTATCAAACATTACAATGCTTCTCGCAAATTTCGTGAAAATTCAGTTTAATATTTGCTCTTCCCAATAACAAGAAAATATCAAATTCTGAAATTATTAACTATTGTTTCTCTCAAATCAATTTTTGCCATATTGTTTGAACAAATTTCGTCATGAACGAAATCATATTGTGTGCATTTTATATCCATTGTGATTAATTGAGTTTATTCAGCATAAAATATTTATCTGAAAATGCAAAATTTTATTCTCAAAACCATATTAACATTTAACGAGCACATTACCTAAAATTATACCCATAGTAGGTTTAAGAAGTTAAGTGCTTCATTTTCAAAGCGAGAGAAGTTGCATAATTAATATCGCTTTATTGGATTTGAATAGAATTGTGTTCGTCTAATATTGCTTGTTGACCAATATTCAAATTAGTTTTTAACTGAAAATTACAGAAAGAAAAGTCCGAAATTTTATGGTAACGCCATGCCGCGTGTATGGCGGCATTCGACTATTTTAGAATATTTACAATGTCGCCAGTATGGTGGAACTCGTTCGTTAAGGGTTAATTTGTTTTAGGCACTATTCCTATATCATGAGATGTGTGCTTGATAAAGCTGTATTATTAAATTTTAATCATTTTAACCGCGACAAAAACGTCCCGTCCCGGGCATTGCGTCGGCGTTCAATATCACCGGTATTCTTCATCAAGTCCATTTTTTTCTAAGGAATGTCAAAATATTCAGAATGACTTATCGTACGGAAAGTTAATACAATATTTTTATTTAAACATTCTGTTTACAGCAAATATGTAAATTAGTAATAATAGAACAAGTTGCAGGATTGACTATTGCACTAAGGTTTTTCTTTCGATGTGAATAATGACGAAGATGTACGAAGATGTCCATGGGTACTCGGCCTCATTTCGAAATGTCGCTGGTATAACAGTATTCGCTCGTATTCGCCGTCGTTCGCTCGCCTGAAACAGAGAACGCAGAGAACACACAAAGCAAAATATGAAATGTCAGTTACCATAACGTGCGCGACGCGTCAGGTTTGTGACCTTGTTCAGCATTAATCTCACTTTTACTCTTTTATTGAAATGAAACGATTGTAATGAAAAAGTATCTTTTTATTTTAACTAAATACATATTGTAATAAATGTGGTGACCGTTTCTATTTCATTCCATTAAAACGTTTATATATTTATGTAAATCTATCAGTGTCATTTTCAATATTATTCATGCAAGTGATATTGTTCCAGGCAGGAAGTTAAAGGAATGTTCAATTTGGGATTACTAAGGACTTTTCAGTGAATTTGATATCGAAGTGATTTTATTTCTAATGCTACAACAAAACATATTGGACAAAAGTCTTGCACAAAGGATGGTGGCGTAAAGCGAAACCAAGACCGAAATGTATTTTAGAAAGTGATTTCTCGAATACAACCTTCAAGTTATAACGATTCAGATTTAATGTAAATATCATCGAATCGATCAATTCTGGATTGTAATATTGTTTGTAACAGTCTATCATCGGAAAGTGAAAAATTCAGGTATTACAAATAAAATTAAATGGTTGTGGGTGTGTTTTGCTAATTGCCAAATTGTAAGAACTTTTTGTTTGAAAGTGATTGGTTTTTTGCACTTACAGTTACTTCATAATATTATATTCATGTAACATTTTAAATAATCATGTCTATAAATAATTCTTAGGTGTATGATCCTTTAAAGAACAATTGTTAAATTGTAGATTAATATTGCTCTTTCATGTTTCATAAGTCATTTATATGTACTCACACTATAGATATACATACACATACACACACATATATATATATATATATATATATATAATATTTACAAATGTATACATACATACTATATATGAATTATTAAAAATTTTGCGAGATTTCACATTTAAGAATTTCTTTCTTATAATTTAAGAATTTCTTTTTTATATTATTGTTTCATAATTTCTCCTTCAAATTGCTACTTCAGATAATTATTATTCATTACTAAGTCAATTTTACATTTCATAGTATATATATATATATATATATATATATATATATATATATATATATATATACTCTTCTAAGTGTTATAAAGATTTTGTTTTATATTTATTAACATATAGTTTTGTGTAATAGGGGATACTGGGTACGGTTGTGGCAGGTTACGGTAGTGGCAAATATCATAACAGCTAAACTACACTGATTTTAAGATTCGGTCCAAAGAGAGAAAAATTAAGTATGTTTATTTGAACAAGTTTCCATTGAGTCAGCGCCCTACATTAACATGATCTGTAGACCAATTTACTTTAAAGAGCCAAACGTAGGTTCTTTTGTTCGATTTCTTTTAATAAAATCTGTTACTTGTATATAGACAAATTTACTTTCTTTGTTATTTTGCTGTAAGTTGAACATTAGTAGTTATAATTACCAGCAATTAGTTTTGTTTTACGTTACATGTATATTTTGTAACGTGTATTTCTTGTCCTTATTGGGTGAAATTTAAACAGTTGAAAAAATCTAACTTAATTAAAAGAAAATACCATAAAGAAAAGAACACAAAAATTCAATACAAGAAAATAAAAGATTTCATAAAAATTTCAAGTTTAAAAAATTTGGTTTTGTCATATATTGTTTTATTTCATTCATAAGCTTAGTTTAATTAATTATGCTGTGTTGTGTTACATATTTCTGACTTTAAAAGTAGTTAAAAATAATTTTGGTGTTTATAGCTGTTATTTTTCATTCTATTTTTATACTTGTCACACCCGTCTCTCGGGTGTTTACGGTTGTGACACTTGCCCTTTTCTTGTATGATTTAATTTCATGACTAATCCATCGTATTTAAAAACAGTATTTCAGTATTTAATTCAATTTTCTCCCAGCAAATTAGTAAATTGACAAAATTATTGCCGATAAAAGTTGCACAACCGTATCCAGTTTTCCCTATTTCATTATTTATGGTTTAAATCGAAAATAGAATTATGATTCATCTACACTCTTCTTCTCAAGGTGTCAAGTTTACCTTGAACATATGCTTTCTCCGAAAAATAAGTCTGGTCTGACTCAGTTTTCTTTAACTTTTCATGGTTAACATTGGATTTCCCCATAAGATAATTCCCCAAAATTACTCATAAGTTTGTTAACATGTGCATTAATCCTTGACCACAGGTCACTGCCTTCTCCAATTTATTTATTTAATAACATGCAACTCATCGTATGTGCAATATTAACTTTAAACATTTTGACACCTTTTTGCCATTGCTCTTACGGATCAATAACCTGCATATTATCGAAAAAAGGAGGAGTAGGATCAGGCACTATAAAAATTCTTAATATATGATGAGAAACATTGTATTGCTGCGCAAAACTCCTCGACTGTTTGACTTGTGTTAAAGTTAGTCTTTACCTATTACAGTGAATATATAGTTGTGTAGTGCATGGATAGTTGAAGTATTTAAAAGTAAACTTTATTATTATTATTTATATATTATATATATATATATATATATATATATATGTATATATACTAGATGACACAACAGGCGTTGTCCTGTACCCACGTCTTCGATTTAAGTTCCAAATTTTTTAATATCCAATTCTATACTTTTTAATATTCTATTTAATGTCCTTCCATTTATGGTCTTAGCATAAGCTATATACGTATTGGAAACTGCAGTTTTTTTATCAGTTTAAGAACTTCAGAAAAAATAAATATAGTAAATAAATTGCTTCAATAATTTATATAATATATAATAGTCTATAATTTGTTTAATCGCGTACCCTATATTATTTGCTTTTTGGCAATTACAATTTCTAAATTACATTTTTCTTACTAATAATTTAATAAACATTATTACTTTAGTTAAGATCTTAGGTGAATTAATTTAAACAAATTAAGATCATGAACAAACGAATTTTTGACACATGAAACAAAATTCTAAATCATTTTCTTAATAAGTAGAAATATTTTTTTGTATTTAAATAATTTAGTAAAGTAAAGCAAAATACAATATGCATAAGTTTAAAAAATAATGTATATACAATTTTAGACCATTGTTATTTATTAAACTAAATTATATAATTTCATCTGCCAAACATATATTGTATGTTATATTGTTTTAATTTCTGGCACATCTCAGCTGCTTTTCGGCAATAATATTGTAGATATTACATTTTCCTCTTTCATAATTATGAATATGGATATTATATACTAATATTATCTGGGCTCGCTTAAACTAAATTTAAATTTCAAATGAATCGACGTTTTTGGCAGATCAAAATGTGTTCAATGTCAAACAATGATATGTTGTTTTTTGCAAATTTTTCCATTTATGTCTACAATATTACTATATTTTTATAATTACATACTAAAAAATTCCCTTAACAAACTTCAGAAAGATTTATCAAAATCCGAATAATCGTTTAGGAAGAGTATATTTACATACATCATTACAGAAGAATTTTATATATAAGATATATATATATATATATATATATATATATATATATATATGTATATATATATATAATATCATTGTATAATAGAAATTATGAATAATTTTCGTATTTTTACTTTTTTGTTCCAACTGATTCTAATAAGAAAAATTCTAATGGAAAATTGACGAAGGGTGTACAATGACAATTATAATAGGTGGGAATCAAAATTTTGTTGAACTATTTATTTAATGTTTTTAAAAAGATTTAATTTATAATTTTATAATAATAATAACTGTTGAGTCAAATGTCGATAACAAAGTGTTATCATGTTTTACAATAATATTCATTATTCTAGGTTGAAAACTAAAGAAATTTTTAATATAGGATATGTGAGAATTTATATTAATGGTCTACTATACGTGATATTAGAAAGCAAAATTATTTATGAATTGAAAACTACTTTTTTAATTTCTCGCAAGGTAAGTTATAGTAATCGTCGAAAAATCAAAAATGAAAATTTTTGACATATATTTCTGACAGAGGTTTCTGAACATTTTAGCATAGTTTAGAAAAAGTTTATGTGCGTATGTTGTGTGCGTATGTGTGGATACAATTTTTCATCGACGATTTTGGGCATACGGATTAGTTCAAAAAAAAACTGATTCCTGTTGATTGGGATACGTGCTGATTAGTTTTTGGCAAAGGCAGGTGCAGCGGCTTTGGAGATATAAATATCATTAGACACATTTAAATTTCCTGCATTCATTTTTAATAATAGTCACTACAGTTTTAATAATTCGCATATATTCAATTTATTTTATAATATCATTATTTGGAGCATAACTGATTGGCATCTGTCAATTACACTTTAGTTTTTTGGCCTGTCTTTATTTTTTGTGGGAAACTTAAAACTTTATTTAAGTTTATAACAAGCAGCTTATTAATTTTTCTATTAAGGTAAACGTGCTTTTCTTAAGTGTGAACTTAATTTTACTTTATGGTATATCATCATGATGAAAAATATTATAATAGTTATATTTTAAATGTAACTTTGAAAGTTTCATATTATAATAACAATAGATTACGATTATTCTGATCAATGTAGCTGAATTAAATTTGACTTCAGAATAAAATCATTCTTAATCGGGCTAACTAATAGTACATGTATATTTTATTCGAACTGTCTTTAGATTATAAATTGCCAATATATTATTTTTTAATCTATAAACATGAATATTAAGCACTTGATATTCCAATATGTTTCATCGGAAACAATAAGTTATTAGCAATTAGGTCACCATAAATGCCGCGCCATACGCCACTGCATAGTACGCCACACGCATAGTAAAACGCTTTTTATTTTTTGAATACTATTAGAAACTGTTATTAATGAAATGATTCAAGTGTAATATTTTCATATTGAGAAAATGTTTCAAACCTGCTAATTATTCTGCAGTAGAGATACAACGTTTCTATCATTAATAGTATGAATTGTTGGTACGTAACGTAATCACAGAGGTTTTCATCATATCGTCCAATCCTGTAGGATGCCTACAAAGTTAATTTGGTGCTCAGAAAAATCGTTGAAATTTATGACCCAGGGATTGAGCATAAACTAAGTTTTTTAATTAACGGTCGAATTGCAATATAGTTTGCAATCTAAGTAAAATAAATAATTTTCAAGACTACTAATTAAAAAATAAAGTTATCGAAATTTATTTGTTTTTTTTTTTTAATTTAAGTTTATTAATGTTAAAATCTAAAATAATATTGAAACAAATCAAAAATAATCCTAATCTAAATGATCTAATTTTTTCTCGTGATTTGCATTAACATTTTTTTGGACGGATTTTGCTGTAACTCGCAGTGTTTATTCATTATAAAGTTAGAAAAATGCTACAAAATTACTAAACTAATTTAATTGCTTCTTTAACTCAATTTACATTTTTATTCACTTTATACAACTTCTATAAAAGCTTGTATGTGGATAGAGTAAAAGTAGGTTTAAAAGCGTAAATTTTTGGTTGTTTACACTTTTTCCAGGGCGAAGGTTCAGTTGGTTTCTTTTACCCTATTCACAAGCAAGCTTTTATAAAAGTTAT